AACAGTGTAGAGAATATGCATACTGATGTTAGGGACTTAAGAGTTAAATCTAAGGTCTGGGGTTCCTTTCAAGGTGGTAAGGTCAATAACCATTAAACTGATCATCTGAATTCAATTTCCATTCAAAATAGTTTCAAGAACAAGGCTGAATGTCACATTTGAGACCTACATGTACATTGTACATAACAACCCACAAGGTTGCATTGATAACCTTTCTAACTTAGGAATTTTTACTGACATCTTCTGCAATCTTAAATTAATGGCACTCCAAGGTTTTCCCAGAAGTACTTCCAATGTTTTTAATAAAATTACATACCTGAGACCACTTCAACGTAGACTGAAGAAGAAATAGATCCATAATAATTAGATGCTGTACAGGTGTACCATCCAGAATGGGAAGCCTTTGCAGAGGAAAAAACTAAATTGTTTCCTACAACTACAGGATTAAAGGAAACTACAAGATGTCCATTGTGTGACCAAGAGTGCACTGGCTCAGGAAATGCAATAGCATCACATGGCAAGGTGTATTCTTGATCTTCATACAATGTCACATTGCGTGGTTTGATTTTCCAACTAGGTGCACTTTCTAGATGAGAGATGGAAAAATTGGTTAGTCAAACTTTGCTCTCAAAACATCAACTTGGATATCACTGATGACTTTTGAAATCTGATTGGCTCTCAGCACAGTGATTTATTCACAAGCCCAAAAATGTTTTTACTATAAATGAAAAAGCAACATCAAAGCAAAACAAGCAATCAGATTTCAAGGCTTGCTTAAAGTGATCAATCAAATTTCAGGAAAATGAAAGAAAAAAAAAAGCAGTTGTCCCATGAAACATTTTTAGTTTTAAATGTGGGAGGGAGGTGGGAAATTGAATTTTAACAAATATTTTTTGACCATTTGCCCAAACTCAATGTTGTCATGATGTTAATCTTAAGAGTTTACATACCTGTTTGCACAGTAATGTAAAAATTGGCTTCAGCTCTTCCATGTTTATTCTGGGCCACACAGCCATATTGCCCTGCATCTGACCATTGTAGGTGGAAGATATAGAGATTTCTAAAGACAGAACCCACAACAAATCTGCCTCCAGTTCTAATCACAGTCTCACCACTGGTAGTGTATCTCACCCACTTCACAGAGGGCATTGGTGTGCCTGTTGCATAGCATTTTACAACTGTTGTTGAAGAATGTAACTTGGCTGTTATATTCTTGGGTTTATGTGTGAAGTAAGGTTTCAAACTTTCTGTAAATTAAAAATAATAATAATAATAATAATAATAATTATAATTACAATAATAATAATAATAATAATAATAATGAATAAACCAGCGGGCAAATCAGTGTGTGAAACACGTTCCAAAAATAACAGTTACGAAACCATTCTTCGTATGAATTTTTTTTTTCTGTTTGGGATAGCTGCAATACGATTCCCACGACATTGCGTTGTTGAATGGGTCACACTGCCATCTGGGGTTTCCCTGTAAGTCTTCTGAGATCAAGGACTTGGCTGCGTTAAAGCCCAGAAATTGGCGTTAACATTAAAGAGGAGCGGGCATATTCAGGTTTGTGGACAACAAGACGAAGTGGAAAGATTTCCCCACAACCTTGATATAATCCAACCAGCAATCTACTATTTTTTGCCACTGTTTTCTTTATCTGAGAACGATAAGCGTCATGAGCATGTAGCTGTGCAGAATTGCGGACACATGGAAATCAAGATCGAGAAGGTCTGGTGACCTTCTCAATTACAGCTAAGAAAGTCTTCAAATATGTTGGAAAATTAATTACCCCAGCTTGTTTCACACTCCCCTTGCATCAATTTTTTTTTTTTCAGTCTGACTTTAAACAATGTATGATAATTAAAACTAGCAAGATAAATGCTCAGGCTTTATGGTTTAAAACATTGCGATGCATGCACATGTAATTAACTCGAAGTTAAATGAAATTGAACAAATTTCATGGAACTCCAACGGAGCAAATCCAGTCAAGACGAATAAAAAAAACAGCTCATAGCGGAGTTTCAATTAATTGGACAAGTAACCTGATTTCAGCTTAATCTAATACTTACGGGTCTGAGCACTTGAAAACTTTGTCTGGAAGACAAAACACGTCATCAGTAACGTTAAGCTTATGTTCTTCCAAACAGAATCCATTTCCGCTCGCTCGATCAGCAAACAAAACGAATTCGATTCGCCCGGGTGAATAGGTTAAAAACCAACGTCTGAGAATTAGTCCTGCAAGAAACAATAATACACAGAGATAAAGAAATTCATCATACAAGATCAGTAGTTTTTGAGAGCGCGAAAGGCATAACTCTGCTCTCTGACAAGTCCAATGTAAATAAGTGACGCAGTCCCGCGTACAAATTCGCTGCAAGTCATGCAAGAGATGTATAGATCAAAAGATAACATTACTAACAGCAACATTTAATAGCACGAGATACTACTCACTTGTCTTTCTTCCTACCGAGATGAATCAGCAGAACTAATAATCACAACTCCAATTGATCGATCCAAACTGAAACTTGAACGAGCCGACTGTCATTTCTATTCAAACGCCGCTTGACGTCATGTCGGGGGTGAGAGGGTGTGACATAGGATCGGCAACTTCCGTTGAGATGAACTTCCGGTCAACAAAACATTATTACTTCCATCTTGTTTCAAAGACTGATCGACTAACATAGATTGAATTTAAGATCAATTTAGACTTGTGGATATCAACATTTAGTGTGGATGGGCAAGTGAGGTTCAGATAGGCAAAGACGAAATTGAAGAAGCGATTTAAAATGTTAATACGTGATTTCCGAATGCCTCTTGTCATCATGTAGACTCACATACAATATAGGAATATTGGTTTTATCGGTCATCTTCGCTCGACATGTACCATGTGTCTGCAAAGAAGCCAGTGTATTATGTTGTCAAGTATCCTTGTCAACGGTTGGTGAGATCACGATCAAATCCTGCCGGTTTCATCTTTTTTAACCAGATTTTTTTTAAGCAAAGTAAGACAAGACCACTAATAATAAAAACACAATAGCCAAAATGCGTTTTTAAGCGGATCTAACATGCGGATCTCAAGGCATCGTGTTCGCGTTAATCCTGTTAACTGCGCTACGATAACTGCAGTCTTTTGTCGAACAAGAAGATTAAGACGATAGTAAACTTACAAGAGGCACAACAACTATTCGTAGCGACAAAGTAAAAATATGTTGATATCAGTTGTGTTTGATGTTTTAAGTTCGAACCTATTCAATACACCCCTAGTCCTACCTTACTGTGGAACATTACTTTAAGAATCCCCGTTTACTTGTGGTGGACTTTTATTAGCAGCGTTCGACAATTCTATTCAAATGTCCAAATACTGTAGAAAATGGAACCGTCGTTCAAGAGATAGGAATTTTTTTAAACGGTACATTTGCGTCATTGGCCAGTTTTTCCTGAAACTAGATATGAAAACTTGATAAAAACACTGATATTATTTTTGTCTTTTGGCTTTATGTCAATGGAAAAAGGAAAAAATCTGATGGAGGATTTCTGGAACGAGGAGTTTAGTTATTTTTTGACGTAAGTTTGATCAAAAGTGCAAGGAGGAGCAATGCAGTTAGCACCTTGAATGACCTTGAAAACACCCTTCCAATTTTCATCCCCAAAAAGAAGACTCATTGTTACCAAGCAGCATTTTTTCCCCTATAACACTCGAAGAACCCTGTTGTATCGTGTTAAAAGGAAAAATATGCCCCAGATAACCATGAAAATCTTATCCTTACAATCAATAACAAATACAAGCAAAAATCTATCACTGCCTCCGTTATGAAACTTTTCAAAGTAACCTAACCGTTGACCAATTGTCCTTAAATGTGGTCTAGTTTGGCCAAGTGGGTTGTATAGGATGGTTTCAATGGGGGGGGGGGGGGGGAGTGAAGGTTTTTACGACCAATGATTAATTTATAACGGTTTTATGGTTAACTTATTTAACGATGGTTAACGACTAACGGTTATAATTGGTGAATTTTTATGCCTGAGGGATAAATAATTTGCCATCTTACGGCTAACAATGAACCCCCATAGAAATTCTCATACAGGCGCAACCTTACTGCGTTGTTCATAAACGTTATTGCAAAGAACTGTTATTTGGATCAGGAACGAATTTTTTCCTAAAAAAATTGCCAAGAGATGTAAACGAGATGGACGAGTCTTTGCTGTGTCTTAAATAAGTGGTCAGGTTAGTGAGCAAGATTGAAGAATGACAGTGTTCTATATCAAAGTATTAGAACATCTTAAAGACATAAAACTTTCGAAATGTCAGGTACAATAACTTCATTTATTTTTGTTGTCGGCGATAAAAAAAATTACAAAGCATACATCTTCTTTAATCACGATAATTCCTATTCGTCTTGCTTTCTAAACGTAAAAGTAGAGGCAGTAATTCTGCGTTTCAGTTCGTGAATATTCTCTCCTTAATTATGGCGTTGATTGTAAATATCATTCGACAAACGCCCCTTCCTATAAACAGTTTGCTGCTCAAATACGTTTCTAGGCTGCTTACGAAAATCCTCTGCGACGCACCGAGATAGAATCGATAAACTTTTCACGGTGAAAAGTAAAATAACTCGTGCCAGGGATCCAGCGCGATCAATTATAACAATACAGAACACGCCGTTGTGCCCCCCCCCCCCCCCCCGACCAACCAAGTAAACCTCTCTCTACTTCCAAATGAATCCTCATAGCGTGGCAGGTACATGTTTTAAATTTGTGCTAATGTGTCGATCAATTTAAAGCTTCAACTCCCCCCCCTTCCCCCCCCCCCCCCCCCGGCAACCGTCTGGGCATTTGATCAGCATGAACTTTTGAAGATTGGCTTGTTCAAATTCCTGACTCCCCGGGGCAACAATTTTATCCAAATGACCTACACGATTTTTTTGTAACAGGCAAACTTTCCCTCACATTGACCAAGCTTAAAAACCTAAACCTTAAGACCTTTTTTCTGAGTGACATTACTAGGAGAACAGGAAATCAGGGTGCTGCTTTTCGGCTGACATTCGGTAAAGATGCCATGCAACAAGGCTCAGAGTCCTTGAAATCACCTTTACGCACATTAGTTTAGAATCTGAGAGGATATTTTGAGTGAGTCTTGTTTTAACGAAATCAGAGTTAACACCACAACCAATCAGAAAAAAGGTGAGTGTCACATGACCCAATGAGTGAATGCAAGACAACTTCCCGATGCGCGAAAAGACGCGCCGTGACCAAGTCGAGATTGATTTCAATTTTGCAGGTGACTGGGCAGGAGGAAGGAGAAAGCCTTCTGGACCAACAACAAAACCTAGCAAGTAAGAGCAATGCAATCCCAAATGGATGTTACTAAAATTGGTAATAGGAAACGGGAGTCTGGGACCGAAAATACTCACAACGAAAAAAGACATCGAGGAAAAAGGTTTGAGCGCAACTGTTTAATTTTCGCCAAAACTAGGTTTTGTAGCCACATAAATTTCATCAGCTGATATCTTCATTCCAAAGTTATTCCTGAGGGTTTTCGCTCCAATTTCCTCGCATCGCTTTTTTCTCATTCTAAAATTCCAAATTCAGTGCGCCCAAAATAAATCTTCACTTAATATTACGAGAATCACAGAGCTGTGCCAAAAATGTAACGAACCAAGCGGACAAATTCTACATTGCCGCTCTAAACTTTCCAAAATCCAAGCAAGACGTTGAAAAATTCATTCGCCGCGTTTAATTGAAAGACTTTTTCACGACAGAGAGGATGATTCTAACACCTCGTACAAAGTTACTTTCGAAAGTCTAAATGGACTCCCGCAGAGGCCCAATCCGCATCTTTAGGTTATACAACGATCAATAATATTTAGAAATACTTTGTTTCTAACCATTTAGTAACTTTTCTACACCAAAATCAAGGTTAAAATTGAAACCAATGACACAGATTGGCAAAATAACAAGTACGCTTATGTTAATTATTTTAATACTTCTACCCACTTTTAAGGGAAGTGCATCTTATATTTTTATTTCTACACTTCAAGTTCAAAACCAGGTTTGTGTTTGTGCACTATAGCTCGAATAAGTTCCCCCGGTATCAGTGATCTCATTGTCCCCCAGATTTAGTCTTGTTAGCTTACCGCTTGGATGCTGTAAAACTTCACATAGACTGGCAATACTGGTATCAGTGATATGAAAACTTCTCCCCAGACTTAGCGTGGTTAGCTTACAGCTTGGATGCCGTAAAGCTTCACATAGACTGGAAACCCTGGTATCACTGATCTTATTGCCCCCCAGATATAGTGTGGTAAGCTTACAGCTTGGATGCTATAAAGCTTCACATAGACTGGCAAAACCGGTATCATTGATCCCATTACCCCCCAGATTTAGTGTGGTTAGCTTACAACTTGGATGCTGTAAAGCTTTACATAGACTGGCAACACCGGCATCAGTGATAAAAGTACTTTTCAGGTTAGTGTGGTTAGCTTACAGCTTGGATGCTGTAAAGCTTCACATAGACTGGCAAAACCGGTATCAGTAATGTTATTCTCCATTAGAATTAGTGTGGTCAGCTTACAGCTTGGATGCTGTAAAGCTTCACATAGACTGGCAACACCGGTATCAGTGATATAAATACTCTGTAGATTTAGTGTGGTTAGCTTACAACTTGGATGCTGTAAAGCTTCACATAGACTGGCAACGCCGGTATCACTGATCTCATTGTGCGACAGATTTAGTGTGGTTAGCTTACAGCCTGGATACTGTAAAGCTTCACATAGACTGGCAAAACCGGTATCATTGATCCCATTACCCCCCAGATTTAGTGTGGTTAGCTTACAACTTGGATACTGTAAAGCTTCACATAGACTGGCAAAACCAGTATCACTGATCTTATTATCAACCAGAATTAGTGTGGTTATCTTACAACTTGGATGCCGTAAAGCTTCACATAGACTGGCAAAACCGGTATCACTGATCTTACTACCCCACAGATTTAGTGTGGCTAGCTTACAACTTGGATGCTGTAAAGCTTCACATAGACTGGCAAAACCCTTATCAGTGATCTCAATTTTCTCCAGACCTAGTGTAGTCAACTTCCTTACCACTAATCTACTAATAACATCAACGCATTCATCAGTCAAGTTACTCAATAATAAGTTCAGTTCAGACACATGACAGTGTTCATTGTTCAGTGAATTAAAGACTCGTTGAATTCCATACGGTGTTAGCTGTGAACTATTAAGTTCTAACTCCTTAACTGTGACGAACTTATCAGAACATTTGTGTTGTGCCTCTCCAGCTTCCTCTTTATTTAGTTCACTGATTATGTCCAACACAAATGATGCATCAGTGTAGTCTACATCTGATAAATTCTGCAACACCATGACGCCGTCAGAAATACAAAACGCTTGGGGATTATTCCTGATGAACTTTTTAGCGAATTCTTTGTTTTGATACTCATTCAGACACGTCATTTTAAGAGCGGATTCCATGAAGGGTGAATCTAATAATTTTTCCATCAGTTTCTCGTTTCCTTCTCTTGACAAAACACCAGCCATGAATTGGAAAACCATTTCAGAGCATTTCTCGTCTGGAACATAATTTTCCTTTACAAACCAACGAGCGGCCAAGAATTCTTGGACGGTCTGATGTGCGAAGCTTAAGTGTCTCGTAGTTGTACCCCAGGCAGTCATGAAAGGCTGACCACAGTAAAGAAGACCGCTACCTTTCAGTATGTTGACCTCTTCCAGTTCAAAATCACCTTCCATCTCGCTTTCATCAAAGGTTGGCTTTCTTTCAAGCAGCAGTTTTGCCGCTAGTTTTGATAATTTCTCCAATATGTTCTTGATGACAGGAGGGGGCCTGAATTGCTCAGGAATTTCTTTCTGTCTGTATCCTAACTCGACGTTGAACTCAAGTTCAAAGACATCCACAAGTTTTGTGTAAATGTCGGTTGCTGACACAGGAAGGTCTTGAGGGTTTTCTGACTCGGTGAGGATATACTCCATCTCGAAGCACAACAAAAAACAGAGGATAGGAATATGAGCAAACCTGACTAGGTGCTCATTGTTCATGACATGTTCAAGTACAGCGTTCTTCATACTTTCGTTTTTCTTGAAGTACTTCTCAATGAACTCTTTAACTTGTTCTGATGAAAATCCTGCAATTTTCACGAACCGCTTAAAACGAATTCCTGCAATCTTGTCCGATTCATAAGGTCGCGAGGTAATCATGACGATAGCCCCTTTCAATATTTTTCCTTTGATAAGCTTTGAACATAATGCGGCCACTGGCATTTTACATCTAGCGTTATTGGGATACTGTTCTTCTAAATTTTCAGCGATGTAGTCTTGCTGAGAATACTCATCATAACCATCGATGATGATCATAGCTTCCTTGGGATGCTTTACAATGTAATCAAATGTAAAGTCATCCATGACCGAAGAACAGTTTAAGATTTCTCTTAAAGTCACAGGGTGGTTTCCAAACATGTTCAATTGACGGAAAGTAAGCAAGTTGGCAAACTTTAAATTAAGGATTTCAGTGTTTTCTTTCGCGTGAGGAGCGTTGGCCCAATCGCGAGTCAACTTTTGGCAAAACAGAGATTTCCCAATCCCAGCTTTTCCAATGACAAGAATAGAATTAGGATTCTCCTGGTCATCACTCATCCCCATAAATATCTTATCGCAGTGCTCAACTGGAGTACCGATGACTTTTTCGTCGTACTCAAGCTCTTCACTCCATGCATTTGTCATGTCATTCCTGACGAGGACTTTTCTTCCATGCTGTACGAGAGGATTAATGAATATTTCATCTGTTTTTGCGTTTGAAATCGCGCGAGAGGGAAGCAGCATATGCTGGAGTTCCGTTTGGCCCAGAATAGATGATTTTAGGGCTGCAGTGTGGGCACTTACGGCTGAAAGAAAAGAGGAAAACTATTTACAAATAATCTGAACACGAGGACAAGCAGCTTACGTATCGGTTTAAATTCTTATTCTACGCTGTTTCCTTGTTTGGAGGACAGCGCAATGAATACACAAACTTTGAAGAGAAAACAGACCTTACGCTCATGGTTTACTCTGATTAATGCAAAAAAAGTCGTACTAGCATATATCGCATGCATCGTTATCGATTTTATAGCGTACTTTGTTCCGTAAACACATATCCACCTGCATTATTCGCCTTTCCAACAACGATTCTGGACCTGAAACTAAGCACCTAGTCGGTTATGTTATAGTATTCCAGTTTTAACATATGTAAAAATCTCTTCAGACTGGCCTCTCTTTTTCATAAGGGCTCAATAATCCAATATCGCGGCAAACTTTGGCGATGTTTACATTAACCGTTCTCAACAACAAAAATTTCAGACAAATGGACTGTACATGGCTGCATACATACATACGTACGTACATATACTTTATTTAAGCTCGAAATTCAGTGTAGCTGTAGAGCTAATATATTCCAGAAAAAAGCTAAAATGAAATAAAAATATGCTATCCTGCAATTTCAATATTATTTATAAACTATATACAACTACAAGCTAAGAGGGAAAACTAAGAGGGAAACAGTGGCTTAGGAAGAATGTTATATTATGAGTAACATCTCGAAGGGAGTTATCGCTTCTGCCTGTCATCTTTAAAAGAAATTGATCAGCTTTCATGAAGGTCTACGTACTTGACGTAACTACAACTATATACCTCAAATCATGTGCATATCATCCAGACTGCGATTGCTGTACCCTCTTTCAAGGGAATTTGAACAATCCTAAATCTTCTGACGATACTGCTATACTTCTAGGTCATTTGCAACATGTTAAAGTCGGCTGAGTTAAATTACAAAACGCCGATCATTTTCAATAAACGTGCATTATTACGATGGCGTGACCAAAGACTTGAACAAGACATTTTTCGATATTTCAGCAGATTTTTGGGCACTCTGGGGTACCGAACTCTCTCTAATCAAGAAAATTCGAATCATCTGCAAACTTTTCGATTTCCTCGTATAAAGAGATATATTAAATTGCTTGAAAGATTTTTATAAACGAACGACGCAGACAGGAACAGGTAGATATTCCAGCTGTTAAGGTGAGTAACTACATAAGCCGATTTATTATCTCCGTTCATACTAAAAATGACAATTAATTCGACTAGAGGCCTGCGTCAAAAAACGACACTAAAAAGAAACAAAGGGCGCCTGTGGCCAACTCGTGGATAAAGTATTAAAGAGAAATATACTTGTTAAGTTGCTATCAGTAAACTAAGGTGTTAAAAAAAAGATAGAAAGTAGAACCATTGCAAGTATAGAAATTATGGTACTCGAGTATGTGATGGAAACCCCCCCCCCCGGGGGGGGGGAGTTCTTGGGTCATTTTTAGCTGGGTATGTGCAGCTGGCTTCTCAGAACCTCTGCCTTATTTTAGATTATATTGTGGCCAATTACAGACCCAATCTTTGTCCGCTTTTGGGCAAGACCGGAATGGAATGGGAGCCGTTTATTAAATATTAAACTACAGTTACCACCTTTCTCCCCATGAATCTTCCTGTTTATGAATTCTTGCTTGCCATAATTTCCTTACGCCTAAAATCTTAAAAATGTGTCACCCCACTCAAGTAACTCTTTTGAAAATAGCTGAAAATGCAACGCCATAAAAAGTCAAGGTAGTAGTGAAAATGAGACCCTATCCAGCGGCACATTGTTAACCTATCTCTGGGAATTTTAACCCTTAACCCCCCGGAAGTTGCATTAGGGATCGTGAACGGAAGTAGTCTCGCATCCTACCCCTCCCCACTAAGTAAAAGTGAAATTTAATTAATATGAAGCTCAGACACTTACGTAGAAAGAAGTAAAATGTTTGTATGGTTTAATAAAAATAATGACCTCAAATCACACTTCCAAACTTCTAAAAATGCAACTTGAATCAAGAAGACGAAATGTTCACACCTAGGGGACCCGTAACGGGTTCATTTCAACACACGCTGTGACACGCACAGGGGTATCAGAAGCAGCCATATTGTGAAGCCGCGAATTTGCGTTTGTCTTTAGTTGGTATAAAGTAATCATTGCTCTATCATTGTGCTTGTCCTCAGGAGCTCTTCAAAATACAGTCCACACATCAATCATAGCGGCCAAGACAGTCTCGCTTGGATTTTTTTTCCGAGCCTCAATATTTCGGTCCGGACTTGAGGTTCGCTCGAACAAAAACAGCAATACCAATCCGGTCAGTACAAAATGCAGATTGTAGACTGCAGACCGGGTAAAAAATGCAGACTTAGAATTTAAACTGTTTTTTCGTCTAATACGTGATTACATGCCATTTTACAACTTACCGAGCGTCACGCAATCGCTTTTCCGCGATCATCTTTCACGATTATTTGCACTATTGTAGCATATTCCTTGCCCGTTTCTTGATCACTACGTTCTTAATATAATTTCAAGCCTTCATTTAGTATTCTCACTTTGCGCGCGAGTTGGTTGGTGTAATGTCTAGACAGAATTTACCAACTCAACAAAAGTAGATGCAGATGTAAATGAGATGCGGCTATCGAATATTTTACACGATTAATATTCGAGAAACAGTTGACAGCTTTGCACGTGGTCCATACGTTCCATCTTTTTAACCGACGTGTTCATTTTGTTGATAAAAATGCGGACCGAAACCAAAACTGTTCCTTCGACTTGATATTCACATTTGCCATAATGGCGCCGACCGAATTTGAACTGGTGACTAGTGCACGGAAACGAGGCAACAAAGGCACGAATTTGTAAACATTGCACACGTGAAGACATGTCAAAGTTTTCTAACCACGATTTTAAGCCCAAAAAAGTCTAGTTTTACCGAGTACAATCTTAAAAGATATCTCATATCCTAGTTATGGTGCCAACTCACTGTTGCGTTCCTTTATGTACTATTAGAGGATATCGCGATGAAAACAATTCAAAGATTTCTTACTTCATCTTTCCCAAAGACAAACATGTGAGAAAGCTGGTGTCACGCTATGCGTCGAGAAGGGGGGAAATATTTTCAAATAGTGGCCTCAACGAAAGTCTGCTCGCGCCAGTCTGTTCATCTCCGCTTTAGTGAAAAGGGGCATCCTTTGAAGGGATAAACCCCAGTTATCATCTTCAGTTAAGAAGTTAGAGCTTGTTTGTAAGCTTTTGTCCGCGTCAGACGGCATTATGTGAAAGCGTGCCTTTTAGGCCTCGATTTCGTGCATTTTTGTGTAACTAGTGCCAGTCTCTCATGGTTTTTTCCGCCATTATAGCAAAGGTGTATATTTTCAACGTTCAGGGGTGTACACACCCTGATTTTTAAGTCGTGAATTGCGCGCACGCGCATGAGCGAGTTGTAGATGTGATGTGGAGAATGGCACTCGCTCGCTCGCTCGCTCTATTGGTCGATTCCTATAGACTCTTTTTCGATTTTAGGCTTTTGAGTGCATTTGATAGTTTCTGGCGAGTAATAAACAAACGAAATGGCGACCTTTGTTGCTAAGGATAGTAGCAGGGTGAAAATGAAGCCAATAATAATCTGAAAAGAGTTTATTTTTTTTCGTTTTAGTTTCAACAAGCGGCACTAGCGACTGGCAGGCATGCGAGGATTCACACTGAAATAAGACAACAACCTTCGTTTTTCATAAAATTGTAATTTGCAATAATTGAACTTGAAAACAGTACGAAGATTCATTAAAAATATCACTTACTCCAAAGCGCTCGGAGTCTGTTGTTCAAAAGCTTTTTCTGTTATGGCGTGAGATTTGGGACAAAATCGATCATTACATTTCGTATCGTGTGTTTTTTCTGTCTGAAGCAACAGAAGGTGCCGGCGACTGACGAAATTACAGGTTCACACGAAAATCAAATAACACTTAAACAAATAATTTTGGCTACCGATTTTCAGGGAATGTTTAAAGAACAATTTTCTTTTAAGTTTCAAGACAATTTGAAGATTCAAAACAAATATTAAGAGCCACTCTCGCTAGGAGCGGTCCTCTCGACTTTCCGTCGGAAAAAAGTTTTCTCTTATTTTTTGCCCATGAAAAGGGTTCTGGGCACATGTTTCAAAAATAGTTTAGTTGTTCTCCAATTCTCTTTTTTTGCATCGCCACAAGCCAAAAATCATTTTTGGCCAGACCACCTCTGTGAACAGCGATCGAAAGTGTCAATTTCAAAGATTTTGTCTAGCGCGCAGCGACTTCAACAATGTGGCAACGTCACGCAATACATCAAGCTGGGTTTGTCCAGTTGATTTTGATGGTCGCAGGGAAATGTCGAGTTTGTCGCTCAAAACCGTTGTGGTCCATAAGAGTGAAACATCATCAATGACGGAAACAAATTTGCAGAAAGAGGTTTAGTTGAGAAGGAGAAACTGCAAGAATTGTTTCGGAGTGTATGCGTGTTGTTTTGTAAATATAAACACTGCAACCTATTTTAACTTGTTTTTGTGTCCTTTTAAGCAATGCGATATGTCTGTTATGACCAGAGTACCAAATTTTATTCTTTAATTTTGATCTTCTCCACACTGTGCATAGTTCATGACCTGATATTTCAACGTAAATTATCGAGAAGGCGCCTTCCGATCACCTTTGTCTACTTTGTAAGTCACGCAAGCGCGCAAGCGTTACAACCGATCACGTTTACGCAGCGTTTTAGGACAACTCGGCATCTAATCTCCTCTCAGTTGCTGTGAAAACCTAAAATCCTCAACGTAGAAGATAAACGAACGAAGTTTGAAATGTCAAAAGGAGATCTTGGTCAATTCCAAGAATCATGCAAATGATCTTTGACACGAGCGCAATTGAGCAAACACATGGATTTGCGTTGTTTTTAAGAAGTTAGTGGATGGAAGCTAGAGATATACCCGCGGTTTTGAGGCAATCCGTGACCTCATTGATGTATGAACTATCACTGATATACTTT